CTTCTTTAAAAGTTTATTAACTTTAAGACTATAATATTAATAGCCTCTTTTAGTGAGAGTTTCTTAATAAGGTCTTCTTATATAAGGTTTATTATAGTATAAGTATCTATATTAACTAATAGTTTAACTTTATTATATACTTAGAGTATAATTACTTAATTTTTAATAATCTACTTTATAGGAACTAAAGTAATTTTTAGTATAGTACTTCTTAGAGTTATCTTTATATCTATTTATTTCCTAAGTCTTTAGTATTATTTATATAAGAGATTATAATAATATTAATCTTACTTTATTTTAGGTTTAAGTTTTAGTTATTACTTATAGGCTATATATATAGTTTAGTATAATTAGGGGATATATATTTATATTTCTTATAATTATAGTATTAGGTTCTCTAAAGATTAGGGGGCCTACTATTAGAGCTAAGGCTTATATAGGGGTTTACTAAGTAGTTATTCTAAGATAAGGTCTTTAAATAGCGCTCTCTTAGGTCTATTAACTAAGAGGGTTATAAATTACTCTTATAAGGGTAGTCTAAGGAGCTTAAGTATAGTTATTTATATAACTTAGAATAGTTAATAAGCCTTCTTATATATCTCCCTTTTAAAATCTCTTATAGTCTCTATATATATAAGGCTATAGTATATATATTAGTATAATTAATATCTTATTTAAAAAGCTTATTTTTTAAGGTTTTAGTGAAACCTTAAAAGAATATATAAGCTTTTATATTACTTATATTTAGCTTACTAAGGACTTAGTTAATAGACTCCTAATAGACTTAATATATAATAGGTTTCTTATTATCCTTTTAGTAGTATTACCTTAAAGTATTATAATAGTTTTATTCTTAAAGTTTAAGTACTATATACTACCTTCTTATAAAAACTCTAAAGTCTTTTTATATAGGGTTAACCTACTTCTCTAATATATCTATAAATATTTACTAATAAGTCTACTATTCTATTTATAAGGTATACTTTATTATACTTAAGGTTTATTAGATATACTAGTTATTAGAGTAGTTAGGGTAGTACTTATAAGCCTCCTCTACTATAATAAGCTAATCTTCTCTTTCTATATTAATAGATTTATTAGTAAGGTAAGCTATATTATAATTTAGAGGTTTTTTATAAACCTTTAATAACTATTTAGTAAGTATTTAGTTATTTAATATAGTAGTAATTAGTTTATACTAGTTAGCTATTATAGTTATAATTTACTATATTAATATTTAGTTAGTAGCTTTATTTAGCCTTTTAGCTTAAGCTAACCTATAAGTAGTAGTTATAGATATCTAGCTTTATAGCTTATTTAATTTATAGAGAGAGGTCTTATATTCCTTATTCTCTTATATATACTTATTATCCTTTTAGTAAATATTTAGTATAAGTAGCTTATCCTCTTTAAAGTTCCTAGTTTTACTTAAAGTATAGCTTTTTATTTCCCCTTATTAACTTATATTATCTTCTAATTATTTACTAGGGTTATCTTCCCTATATAGGCTTATATAAGCTATCTTACTTAATACTTAGTAAATACTAAGTATAAGTTCTTTAGCCTAATTAGTAGGTATTACTTAGGTATATAGTACTATTATTATTATTAACTTTCTTAAAATAGGGTAGAAATAAAAGAATTATAAAGGTATTTAGGGGTTATAGACTATAATTAAGTTAAACTAATAGAAGAAGTACCTAAAAGGTAAGTATAGTATTATTATACTACTTTTACTTATTTCTTTTAAGATCTTCTTTTTTAACTCTTTAGTAAGTACTTATTAAGTTCTTATTATAGAGGGTTCTATACCCTATTTCTATAAGGTTCTCTATCCTTTTAGTTTAGTCTAGCTAAACTATCCCTAAGCCCCTTTAGTCTGAGTAGCTAGACCCTTATAAAATAGAGAGATTATTAAGAATATACTTATTAGTACTAATATTTAGTATAAAGGAGTTTATTCTCTTAATAGAGGCTATAGATATAATATATTAGTATAGTTATACTTCTTAGCTATTATTTTCTTCTTTATTAGCTTTCTTAATAGTATTTTATATAAAGAGATTATTAGTCTCTATTTCTATAGTTTAGTTAATAGAACTATAGATAAAATATTTAGGTATCTTTATTAGTTATTTCTTAACTCTCTATATATAGTTAACTTTATATAGATCTTTAGTAAGAGATTAAGGGTTAAAATATAAATTAAATACTTTAAAGTTATTTATTAAGAATAATAGAAGGGTTCTCTTCTAAGTTTAGGTTAATAAGGTATCTATAAAAGCCTTAGATAGTTAGTTAATATCCTATTTAATACTAGAGTTTCTAAAGATACTATCTTAGGTTTAGTTTTCTAAGGTAAATACTAAAGTAAATACTTATATTATTAATTATTAAGTTATTAGTAGTTTATTTAAGTATTTAAACTTATTATATACTAAGGTATAGTATCTAAAGTATTTAAGGGAATATTTACTATACTTCTTAAAGTATTAAGTTATCTTTTTATAATAAGAGTTATATATTTTATACTTATAGAGGTTCTTAGGATACTTAATATTATAAGAGGTATAAAGGTTTTATAGTTTATTAGGTTTAATTACTTAAAGTTACTTCTTAGAGGGAAACCTCTTCTTATTTAAAGGGGTATTAATACCTTAAGAGGCTTATTTATATTATTCCTTTTTATTAAAGCCTCTAAGTTCTTATAAGAGGTTATTATAAGTTTAAATTTCTATAATAAAGTTATTTTCTATAATATCTACTTTTACTTAATTAAAATATCTAAAACCTTAGATAAGTCTATAGATAAGAGCTATAGTTAATAAACTTATACTAAAGCTATTTAGTTTATTAAAAGTTAAGTAAAAATCTTTAGTATTACTATAGTTAACTTTAGTTATTCTATTCTAGTTATTATAGATTTTACTTATAGTTAGCTTATTAAACTTCTAAGTATATTCTTTAGTCTTAATAAAGATATAAAAAGTTAAAGTTATAATAAAAAGACTATTATTAATTATTTCTTTTAAGAGTTTATATTAGATCTTCTCTATAAGTAACTATTTAGTAAATATAAAACCTATAAGTATTAGATTACTTAAAGATCTTAGATCTTTAACTACTACTACCTTATCTTTTTTAAAAACTATATCCTTATTATATCTATTTAGTATTTCTTTATCTATTAAGTAGAAGAGAAATCTTCTTACTTTAAAAGTATTCTTAAGATTAATCTCTTATAGCTAAAAGCTTATAGCTTTAGTTAATTTAAGGATAGTATTATATACTAGAGTTCTTAGATTTAGTCTTTTACTAGCTACTTTTTATATAGCTACTTTAGCTATAAAGTTAGTAGAAAAAGGGGAAAAGTTAAGAGGGCCTAATTAGGATAATCCCCTCTTAATAGAGCTTAAGGAAGATAAAATTAGATTATTAGTTAAAGATATATTAATTCGTTTAATTAATTTAGTAGTTTAAAAGAGGTTTAAGGAGTAGTTATAAGTAATTATTAAATAGTTATTAAGTAATTATTACTATATAACTATAGTAATTATTAAATAATTATTAACTTTAGTAGCCTAAAGGCTAAGGAGATTTTATAAGTAGGGGATATATATTATAATAGCTATAACCTCTATTAATATATAATATTCTTTTATAATAATAATAATAATATAAGAATAATAATAACGCTTAACTTACTTTAATAATCTATATAAAATAAACTAATAAAGTTGAAGGTATTAAACCTTATATAAAAATACTCTATATATTATAACTTATAACTATAATACTAATTATATAATACGTATAGTTACGTAAGTACCTTATATAATTAGTAGTTTAATAGGTTACGTTTTAGGTTATCTTTCCCCTTACTTTTCCCTATTAGAGGAGGTAACCTAAGATAAATAATAATAAGAGATATCATAATATATTAATTCCCTTATTATTATCTAAATAATTAAATACCTATAAATACTTAGGATTATCACCTTTTATTATAATATAAGCCTATCTATAACCCTATACTATATAAGCGTATATACTACACCCCTAAATACGCTTATACCTATACTAATAACCTCTACTTAGAAATATCACTTCTAGTAGCTTAGTAATCTATTAATTACTCTATAGTAATTACTAGATTATAAGGTTAAAGTCTTAATAGCTACTTAGGAATAACCTTACTATCTAGTAAATAGATTTAGGTATTTAGAGGGCTTATAACCTGCGTGAAGTAGCTTAATTAATCTAGCTATAAGTGCTAGGCGCGCCTAGCTATAAAGTGGTGTGGCTGACCCCTTATATAAAGGCGGGATTCGGGCCGGGATTCGGGCCTCGGGCCTGGGCCCGGCCGACTACCGTCTCGCACAATGCACCTGGCATGGCTGCCTTGCGTGGGCTGACTCGGCTTCACGACGCGACGCGTCACCCGAGATTTGCGCGACGCGAAAACACCCGATATCAGGTGACTCTCAGGCTTCCAGTACTGCGCCAGCTGGTAAGCGAGCCCCACCTCCTTGTAGCCATGGCCACAGTACACAGGGATACCCAGGTACCACCCCACTTGACGAGCATCCCGATTCCCCCATCTTCTGCCACCACAAGTGCACGACGTATCCCTTGAAAAGATGTAGACTCTTACAGACTCTCACGAATCATGGACAAGGACAGAACAGCAAACGCGACGGCATTTTATTGTGCAACCGAAACCTAGGCTGAGCTGGCGGCGAGCTTTCTCTGAGTGAGGGTCGGCACGCACGAAAACTGGCCCGATGCTGAAGCTGTCGATTCCCGTATAAAAGCAGTGGCCTCTGAGTTTGCGCGACGAATTGCAATACTTTGGGACGACTTCCGCTTGCATGCCCGTTTCTGTAGCCGCTCTCCCACCTCCAGAAAAATAATCACTCGCTCCAGTGTCCCTTCAGGCCTTCCATGTCGGGGGAACGCCACCAATCCAGGCCACATGCGACCAACCCTCCACAATGCCCTCACTTGCGTCCACCGATGCTTCCCCAATACTCCTCGAGCATAGCAGGGTTGTTTTGCTTGACGAAGGCTTCCGACACAACCGACTCGTCCGTGGACCCGACCCAGGTAACCGTCATCGTGGCGTTGTTCTTCTTCTTGCCTCTGGTGAAAGTATGCGACTTCACAGCAAGTATATGCCACATGTGTCGCTGTCGGGGTCCCAGAATGGCGCGATGGTCGCAGGTTGCGATGTACTCCTTCCACAGTAGCGGTGCATCTTCTTGAATCAGCCACTCAGGCTCCCAACTGGTGTCGTCGTTGGCCACCTTCCATCTGCACTTGAGGATAATCCGGGTTGGGTCATCAGGGTCGATGTCATGATCCAGGATATCCACCAACTCCCACTTCTCGTCTTCGTCCGTCGCTATGCTGGTGTCGGGTGCGGGTGCCTGGGACGGTGCCTGTTGCTAGGTGGTGCCGTCGGTCTGGGTCGCAGTTGTGGCCGGCTTGTCGGCAGCGGTGGTGGGGACGACCGGGATGCGGGCGGCGGCAGGGGCACCCTTTCGTCGGCGGCCCAGGCTTCGGACGCCAAGGGCTTCCATGGCGGCTGCGCTCGGCATATACCACTTTTTGCCTGAAAGTCTCGCCATTTGGTTGTTGATCTTGGTTTCCGGCAGCCGCGACGGGTGATTGGAAGTCAGAGAAGGTCGTCGTGGGCCGGATGGTTTTTGCGACGCAGACAAACGGCAGGCGCTCTTTGGTTTCGTACCCACACCGGACCGAGGCAAGACCGGGCCTTAAAATGCACGAGTCCGCAACGAGTTTTGTGGCAGTGACTTCGAGCCGGTTGATCGATCGCGAGTTGAAGTAAATTAGATTGCGTCCAGGAAATTGTATCGTCGACGTTGCCCTGCACCTTGCCGCTTCGTCGTGAAAGGAAGAGAGGCATGCGACCTGGATGGATGCAGCGCCATGAGGATGGAGCGTCAGCCACTTTGTGGCTGGTGTGGCGTGTGGCTCGTGTGGCTCGTGCTTGTGAGCTGCTGAAATCAACCGTTGCGGGCAGACCGCCCAGCCAGGTATCCGTACCAGCCATCCGCAGACGCAACCAAAAGCACCTTCTCTCCAAGCACGGGCACTGTGAGGACACAGAGTGGTGAGGCTGGCGCGAATCGGACGACCCCCCACGTAAGGGCCACCGTCTAAGACGGGATGTAACGGCGCAAAATACGTTGCTGCATCTGCTTCCCAACCCCATGCACGCCTCATGCCATCGAGGCCGGCATCAAAGACCTCCTTTCCCAAAATGGTTGCCACTTCTCCCGTGGCTAGGACTCTACGATGCATGCTTGATCAGTCTCTCACCACATTGAGCACGATGGCCGAGTGATCACCAATGTCGCGCGTCGAGCACATGTCTGAAAGCCCGGGGTGTGAAATGCGATGCCTCCGCGTTCGCTGCAAACTAGGTCCGCTGCAAGCTCCGATAAGAGCTCCGATAAGAGCTTCCCACTGCAACTCTTCGGATCACCTCCCAACACTTCTAGGCGGGGCGAAAATGAATGTGACGATCTTCCCACTGAAGACCGTCACATTCAAACCCTCAGGAAGGAGCAGGCGTTCCAGGCAGGTACCTAGGATACCTACGTTGCAGGCCTGCGCAGGCGTCAGGGCCGTGGGTAGCCGTGAGCCAGCTACTAACAGCCCTCTCTAGGTAGCCAAAAGTCAGCTACCCAGAGCAGGATCCCACACCTCTGATTGGCTGGCCAAACATTCCGGTGCTGGCAATGTGAATGCCCCGTCCGCATTTTCGATGCACTTCACACTGCCGCCATCATTATCCTCCCACTACCTTATGCCATCCAGGCCGTGCCGACAGCAGAGCGACGGGAGTGCAGTGTTGTCGCTACACCCTGGCAGCGGGTCAAGTCCGGCCGCCTGGGTAGTTTATGGCCGGCCTCAGGTAGCGGACATTCAGCTACCTACAGTGCAGTAGGTAGCTGACTTTCAGCTACCCAGACCGGGATCCCACACGTCTGATTGGCTTCCCACTAATGGGAGTCGCAAGGTGCACTGACTGCGCGCTGGGGGAAAATTCCAGCGAGCACCCTGCTGGAAGTTTGGTACGTGCCTTTGCAGCAGGGCAGGTCCAAAACCAATGTGACGATTTTCCTACTGAAAACCGTCACATTCGACCCCAGGACAGACCTTCCGTTTAATAAACACCAAGTCTTCGTCCCGAGGTGGGTTGTTGCCGTCGCCACACTGCATCACGCGGAGATTTTGTGAAAGCAGCATATGCAGTGGCCATCCGCAGGTTCAACTTTGCGCACAGAGAAGTCGTCGCATGCATTCGGGATACAGATGCCGACAGTGATGTGCTGACTGCACCTCACCTCGGACATGAACTACTGCCCATCATCTCCTTGAGTGCATGTCGCGTTTTGGAAAGATTGCACCCTTAAAGGTGCCCGCCGGCGAGGGGGATCTGCTGCCCATGAAGACCCAAGTTTCGCCGCCAGGGGTCATTCGTGGATGGATTGCCACACCGCGAGACTGCATCGTGCGTCCGCGACATGCACATAGTTTAGTGATGCATCGCAGGAAATCTTGATCAAAGACACTAGAGGCGACATTCATCAAGCATGGCGCTGTCTTCTGGATAATTCGATGTGCACATGGGGGAGCATCATAATAACGGCAAGGCGAACCACTCTGCTGGCCACGTCTGGGAAGCAGTGCTACGGCTTCAGTACTGCTCGGGGGAATGCAGCTGGAGGCTCCAAGTGGGATGCGCGTAGGGCCACCGGCGGCGACGGTGGCGGGGGCACGAAGGGCTCGAGACTTCTGAACTGCGGAGCTATCGAACGACACAACCACTCGTCAACGCCCGTCCGCCTCAACCCTCGCCGCCCTGGAGCCGGAACGCGGCATTGCGCAATTGCTCTCGGCAGATCCAGCCGTCGCGGCCAGGCGTGATTGCTGGCTGCAATGGCCGCGGATGTGTCTTCGTCGTTGTCGCCATCTTCCGACAGCTGCAACCTGTGGAGGTGGGTGCTTGCGCGCCCATTCCCCCATGCCTCTCTTATTAGATCGTTCGGTAATTTTCGCGCCGAGCGGGGATCATGATGACGTCCTTTACCCTGCTGCTGAGGGTGGTGGGATGGCGAGCCAGAGCGAGAAGGAGTGATTCTTCGAGGAGGACGTGGCTGGCGGCGGCGGCGTGTTGACAGGCGCTGAAGGTTCATTCTGTGTATTTGTGCTCTGCGTGATGCTCTCGACGAGGTAGTCCAAATAGGTATCGAGCACGCAGGTGACAGCAAGGCATACCCCAAGGCGCAGCTTTTCCCCGGCGGCGGGGAGGAAACAGCGGGCGAGAGAGATCCGTATTGATGTCCTCGTCCATGTCCTGCCAGAATGCGACCGCATCTGCCACCGAGGAGATGATGGAGGTGTGTCGCAAGCGCGCTACGTCGGTGTTGTGCTTCGCGGTCAGAGCCTGTTCGGTCGGAGTACTACTGGCATCGCGGGACGAAGGCGAGGAGATGACGGCGTGAAAGACGGTACGGATTGCCTGGTGCCTATCGCAGAGGGCGGCATCCCTGCCGAGGGCTGCGTCGGGGGCATTGTCCGAGGACTTGAGGCGGTCGGGGGCAACGAAGCAGACGATAGCCAAGCGTCTGTCGAGAAGCGAAGGCTACGGCATCATGGCGTGCAATTGTCGCATCGAAATAAAAGGGATTGAGGTTGATGCAGGAAGGGAGCTTTAGGGACGAAGGCGATAGACGGCCCGTGGGACAGCGACAATGTATGCTGACGGAGGGGCACCGACGCTTTAATGAGACGAGCCAACCAGATGTGTGGAACCCCCTCCCGGCTTAGGGAGCCAATAAGATGTGTGGAACCCCCTGGTCCACATGAGGGGGTTCCACAGCTTTGATTGGCCTGACATATGCACCTGGGATCCCACACATCTGATTGGCCCAATGCAGATACCCACATCAAGGGAGTTCCACACATCTGGTTGGCTCGTTCTCAGGTAGGTAGCTACTGAGCTCCCACCTCCGATTGCATTTAGGCGAAGGGCTGCGCTGCGCTGGTCAGCCAGCGAAAGGCGTGTGCGTTGGCCGGCACGTATCCTCGACAACCCAACCGGAAGACAAAGGTCGTCTCCAGGGTATCGAGGATAACATAACGACAACATCTGCTGGAGCCAAGTTCAAGAAGAACGGCAAGACTTCAAGGTCAAAAGGAACTTGACGGGTCTGCCCGAGCTGGCGAAGTGCTCCCAGCTGGGGTTGTAAGTGCCAAGGCGAGCGCACGACGTTGGACTTTGAAAGTTGATGGAGGATGCTGTCGCCCGGCAACCTCTGAGCACGTCTCGTCGGATGCTTCGAGGACGACCATCAGCAAAGCAACATAATTACCCAGCAAACGACGAACATGGATGCGCATTCGGTGTCGCAAAAGCTCACATACTGTCAGTGGGAGGTTCTGCTGAAGCATGCGCCAACAGTGGGTAGCGGACATTCAGCTACCTACAGGGCAGTGGGTAGCCGAAAGTCAGCTACCCAGACCGGGATCCCACACTGCTGATTGGCTCCCCGATGACTAACGCCTAAACGCCCCTGAGCTTGCGGGTGCCCAGACAGGGACATGCCGTACATCGAGGCTCGCGGGGTCTGCGTGCCTCTCCCCACATCGCCATCTTCAACGTTGCCATTGCCGACTTTTCCAACGCGAACGACACATCTTCAGCCTTAGGTGGCTGCAATGCCTCTATCGCCACGCCGAAGTTCTGGTCGTCGATGTCCTGTCTTGGCCGCCGTCATCTTGAAATTGACAACCAACAGCGTGGGAAGCGTCACATTTGAGTTTCCAGGCCTTGCACCTGCTTTGCGGCCGATGTTCTGGTCGCCAATGTCCCGATTTTCAAGAACATGCGAATCCTGACAGAAGGTCCTGGTCGCTGCCGATGTCCTGTTTCTCGGGACCTGTGATCACAAGGTATGCTGAGGGAAGGAATCCCATCAAATGTGACGATTCACAGTGGGAAAATCGTCACTTTTGCGAAGGTGGTTCCTGCGCCGCCTTGCACCGTCGGTACCTTGCGGGAGCCACGGTCTGCGCATGCGACGGAAGGAGTCCTCGCCCATGTTCCCACTTTCGAGGACATGCATCTGGGTCGAGGGCCTCGAGCTGCACCTCCCAAACTGGTCAGTCTGTCGATCTTCCTTTCCTCGCGCCACCTGTCTGACCTTTCCAGCCTGGCTGATCCTCTTTCCAGCGTAGCAGCCGGCGTTCCCGTCCCACCACAACCTGCCTCTGTGATTGCGAACCTTTGCAACCACCAACCCTTCCGACCACGAACCTCTCCGACCACGAACCTCTCCGACCACGAACCTCTCCGACCACGAACCTCTCCGACCACGAACCTCTCCGACCACGAATCTCTCCGACCACGACACTCCGACTGAGAACCTTTCCGACCATGACCCTGTTCCTACGAACCTTTCCGACCATGATCCTCCGATCGCGAACCTCTCCGACCATACCTCCGGGGCTGCGAATCTTTGCCATGTTGAAGGTACAGCGATGCGCTGAAAGCCCCGATCGTCAGTCCCATGGTTGTGCTCCTTGTGTGCCAATCCACCGGGGCTACGGGTGCCACGCATTTGGACAAAAACGCAACGTCGTTGTCCCACGTCAAACAGACGCAGCATTCCCGTGCGAAATCCCACACGAGCCCCATGATTGGGATCGAGAGGTCTGCAACAATTGACCGAGTCGCCTGCGCGTACCCCTCTGTCTCGTGCTGTCTGGTCTCCCCGACTCCCGTGCCTTACTGTGCTTGACATTTTCAAATTTCCTGACTTGTGCTTCTCCTGCCCGGTTGATTATCATCCAACGACCGAGGACACGTCGATGAAGCCTTGGACTCGGAGTCTGCACTGCGCCCCATGTCCACGCCAGGCCCTCGAGCTTCAGCCACACGGTAAGCTTCAGCCACATGACAAGCTTGAGCCACACAAGGCAATGCTGTGGCTGACCCACTGAATCTCAAGCGGCCCCGCCACATCTCACAGCAGCCAACCGGAAAATTGCCAGGCAATCTTAAATGACGACATCCCGTCGTCGCAACGTGAACCGAACCGCGAATGGGTGGGGTTGGGAAAGTTCCTTTTGACATCAACAAACCCTTGACCGCACCATTTCGCCTTGCAGGAGACTCGATCGGATTCCGCCCCGAAGGACCGTCGCTGTCACACCATGCGCCATAAGCAACATCAATTCATTCACAAGCATGGCTAATTCATGAACGCACAAAACAAGGGCTCCTGCTCTGCCTCGATTGCATCCCTATGCTGTTGCGACCAACCGACCATCGCCAAAGCCTGCTGGAGCAAGCTAACCCCATGTCTCCTGCTGCTTGCCACGGGACTTCCGCCGAGGTCCATGCCATCACATAAGCCCATCACAGTGTACAGAGTACCCAAAACCTGGCGCCTCCAGGACTTGACCACCCTCTACAACATGTACGCGCATTTCCACCGAATCCATCAGGAGACACACTAACATAACTTCACAGTCCCTGCACGCCGACGAGACGAACATGACAACACATACACCCAACGACCAAACAAGCCCACACCCTCGCTCTGCCCTCGCCGCGATCCAGCCGACTCCCAGACCCATCCGCCTCTAGCGAAATTGCTAAGCGGCCCACCGTCTTCGCACAAGAACGATGACAGACACGAATACTACAATATACCCGACGGCGACCAGGTCGCTTTGCCACTGCCACTAGGAGAGGTAGAAACGACTGCTCGCCTTCAGGATGATGGCGGGAAGGGCTGGCGTCCCCTGCGCACCCGCCACCGCGATGACCATGACCAAGTATTTCGTGAACCATGCGACGGACTCGTCTATTTCCGCCGCTGTCGGAAATCCAGACTGGGGAATCTTCCGCCGCACCCCAGCCTCGGCCTCGCCCTGGGTCGTTGGGGCCGGGATGGGAATGAGGATCTCCCGCTCGTCGATTGGGAGGGCTGGAGGATGTTGCGCCGCCGCATTGGTCTGGGCCTGTGGCTGAGGGGATTGGGGGTCGAGCGATGTTGTAGGAGGGCTTGTTGGCTGGACCGCCCGAGCTTGTGGCTGCGCCAAAGATTGGAGCTCGATGTGTGCTTCACCTTGCGGCTGCCAGTTTGCCGCGTTGGCTGGCGAGGCGTCGGTGGGAGGCGCGACATCGGCAGGGGTAGTTTGGCTCATTGGCTCCATTTTCTACTGGACAGATTAGCATGGGCGTGACACACTGACAAGGAGGAACTTACCGTGTTTGCGAGCGAAGTTGAGTGGTTGGTTTGTGTGGTTGGTGGTGGGATTCTTGCTGTTGGCTCGTAGAGAAAGGGTTGGTGGTTGCCTGAGCTGCAATTTCTGATGGGATGAACGACTTGTGGATGGCGAGAACCATTCTTAAGTGCCTCCTCTGCTTAAGACCAGTTCCCCCAGGCAGAAGTCGAACAGGTTGTGCTCATCCGCAGCCATGGCCAGCTGCAGAGCCATCAACCCCATATCTCAGTCAGTGCCCGAGACCTCCAGAGCCTACGGAGCACTTGGAAAGGTGTGGTGGTGATGCTTCTGCTTCTGCTTCTGCTGCTGCTGCTGCTGCTGCTGCTGCTGCTGCTGCTGCTGCTGCTGCTGCCGCCTCCGGGAGACAAGGGCGGTCAAAGAAGCAGCAAGACAGCAGCAGGTTTCTTGCATGCCTGTATCAAAGCAGCCACCTCAGACCCAAAAGACCAAATCTCCCACCACAAACAAACCAACACTGCAGTCTGTAGATGACTGGCTTGGTGCCTGAGGACCCCATCCATCTTATGCCACGACAAACAAAGGTCACATCAACACTGCAGATGACTGGGTGCCTCAGGATCCCATCCAATCCCATCCGACGTACCTTACGCGCCTTCCACCTAGTGCTTTCCCTTCACATCCTCACAGCCCCACTCACCATTCACCTTCAATCAACAAACACTCCAACCCTCACCCATCTTTCTTCCACCACAACGCAGTGCACGCTCTTCGCAACCCAAGCACATCGTCGCCTCCCACGTAACCAAGAATCGCATCGCAGACACCACCGCCATGAAGCCAGAGCAGCAGCTGAGCGATCTCACTCGAACCTTCCCGGGCCCCGACGCCGACACTATTGCTGTGCGTTCCTAGTTCGAGCGCATCATTAGACGTCGCCAGGTGGATGTCCCCACAAACTGGCGCCTTTGCTTGACCGGCTACGAGATGAACCACCCGGGGCTCACGGAGAGCAAGGTCCAGCAGACTCTGCAGTACTATGGCCTCGACACCCTTGGTGCCCAGTACCTTGCCCAGGATGTCCTCCATTGTCGCAAGGTCAGTCTTTCTTCCCTTACACAAGCCTTCACCATGCCAATTTTGTTGCTTTTGCTAACTTGTCCCTGCCTCCTTTTAGAACTACGACTACTACAAGATGCTTGCTGAGAAGGAGGGAACGGTCTGGCCCCCGAAGGATGTCACGCAGGATGGGAAGGCGGGACTGGTAGCAGACCCCTCCACCATCATCTTGACGATTTTCGTTATCATGCTGGTTTCGGTCATCCTCTACTGCCTCTTCATCAAGGTTGACGCCTGGCTTCACCCCCAGCTCTGAGCCGGGCAGACTCCAAGCGCCAGCCAAAGTTACTCGGGTACTCGGACGAGTGGGTGGATTCGAAGAAGAGGGCACGCGTGCGTGGGCAACTGCGCCAGCTGGGCAGCTGGAATGGCAACACACCGCCAGATGAGCTCAAACGTTTCCGTTCCGCAGGATAATTTCTCAATTTCACATGCTCGGTTGGGCCTTCCCCATCGGCCGCCACCTGTTGTGTCTCTCGAATTTCCTCCGTGTGATGCTGTGATACAATGACCCCTCTTGCCTTGATTAGTTTAAATCTGGATCTGGATCTCCAACTTGATGGTCTCTCCCATGGTACACAGGGCGTCCTTGAGTGTCGCTTTGTTTGCCGCCCTGCACCTCCCAGCCCAGCCACACCGCCCTCTCCAGCCACACATTTCGTACGCCACACCTTTCAGACCCCCGACGCGCACCGCAGAGACCACACACAATCAACTACACTCATGCCGTTCCCATACCCAACCTGTCTTTCGCATGGCAGACCCTGAAGATGAGGCTGAGACTTCACTGACCAAGTTTGTCGAGTGTACGCCAGCGCGGGGCACTTTGAAGGCGGACAAGGCGGACGCCGCATCTGCTCCCGGCAGTGAATCGGATGCACCTTTTCTCCATCGCAGTCCTCTGCTTACCAGACGGCAGGGGATTTTCTTACAGACGACCTCGGGGCTGGCTCACTGTGTCACATTCCTACGGGAACGACTCCTCGGGGATGGACTTGGGTTCGGGCCGGGTTCAGGACTGCACCCTTCCGAAAACCTGACAGCGAGAGGCGGACACGGGCGCCAGAAGAGGCTCCCAATTCGAACATTCCATGTTTTTATGATGGCCCGCGAAGCTCGTCAGTCGACTGGGGTCAGCTTGGAGCCAAGTAGTGATGTGTGAGGGGGAGTGAAGAGGCTTTGCTGGAAGCGACCACGACAAGACACAACTAGGACTGGGCGCCTTACATCATGACGAGAATACGCCAATTTCACGTCGCCAAGTCGCGTTCTTTCCCGATCAAAAGTCCTCTGATGTCCAGCCAAGCTGAGGTTCCCGTCCTGAGTCACACCAAGCCCAAGCAGTGTCCCCACTGGAGCCTGAAATCCCGCCCAAGTTACAAGCGAAGACCGACTGCTACTTATGGCTCCGTTTCTTGGGAGTCTTCGCTCTTCTATGCAACATCTCCATCAACTTCGGCCGCGCTCTGCAGGAAGTCACGAGCCACCTCCACAACCGGCACCCGATCCCGACCGTCTCCATGATTTCCGATTCTCCTTTCAACGGCTCATCTACGCCCCGGCTTGCAATGCCTCTCTTCCTCTGTCCCACGCATGATCCCAGACGGGACGCCATGCACCACTGCAAGCCTGCGGCGAGGAAGACTTCAACCCCGACAGCCCGAGCTTCCGCAACGAAAAGACAAACAGCCTGTTGCAGCCGTTATCGAAGTCGACGAGCGAACCACTGGAGCACTCAGAAACGGTCAATCCTGCAATTATTCCCAGCGATCGGGCGATAAGTGCCCTCCCTCCCCCTGACGGACCTCTCCCCACGTGTCTCGCAGGGAACATGTCAATCTCCGCTGCTCACCATCATGCGCCACGGCCTCGAGGCCGCTGGGCTGATCTCAATCCAACCAGGTTGACACCGAACGACTCCGGCCTTCGCCACGCCCGGCAGTCCGGATCATCACATGCCTTGCCGCCAAGGCAATTACTCGCGACACCCCTCCTCGAAGGACTCACTCCGTAAGCAGCGACAGGCCCACACCGATTCCCATTCCCCTTTCTGACTTTCTCTAGTCTGATTCAAGCCTGAGTCTGTGTCTGAATCCGAGTTCAAGGGGTTGCTGCAGCGCAATCAACCCTCGTCCGACGCGCTCTCCGAACAGCTTTTTGAGCTGACAGATTTGCCGCAACGATCTACCGGCAGACTGTCAGCCCATCCACATCAGCCAAGAACCGCATCAAGCTGAGCGACATCTACTGGCCGATCTGTTATTCCTTCAACTATGCTGCACGACAGGTTTCAAGGCAAACAAACATGATGGATAGCCTGCGCCGGCGATGTTGTTTGTTTTATCACTCGCACTCGTCCCTCCGCCCTCCGACACTGGCGTCTCGCTTTGGCAATTTGTTCAACCGATGGCTTCTGAGATGCATCTCTTGAGAGACATGATCGCCATCTGACTTGGGTCTTCATCACCGGCACCTTTCTGCCCCTACGGCATCTTCACTTGGATGCATCATATAAGCAAGTCGTAATGTGATCCTGTTCCACCAGCGGCAATCACCATGCTCGTGCGAATCAAGACAAACCAGCCAACACCAAAAGCGATTGAAAGCAAGTACTTACTTGTTCAGTGGTCTTTGTCAACTCGGCAAACCAGAAGACGATTGCCCGCACGTCTGGCAAGGACTTCAAAGTCAACCCACGCCGCCGCTCCGCTCTCGCTTCTCCTTGAGAATACGACCGACGTCTCGCCCAGATGACATGAAACCTATATTCAACCTATCGACGCTTGCTCTGAGCACAATACTTGATCAGCATCTGGCGCCGCTCCATCCCGGGTGGTCAACGATTTTGGCGATGCGTTTGAGCAAGTCAAGGGAGTGGTCTCGCATTGGCAAACTCTACGCCGAGAAATCCGAAGACAACAACGCGTCTCAAGGTAGGATTTGCAACGTGAAGATGACAACATCCCCCGCAAGACTCGTCTACCTAGGTGGCGACTTGCTTCAGACCCAGCCGGCCATATCAAGCCGGCGCTGGTCAATCATTCTCCATGTTCTCACATCATCTCCTGCGGCGCCCAACTGCTTTTGCCCACCAAACGATCACAAACATGCCTGCTTGTCATCCCCAGAGTTTCCTCCATAGACGTCCGCTAACCTCGACAATTCATCCTTCTCCCAGCTGCCCTTACCTCCCGCATGTGCTAACGGACGTACAGTGAGTACACGACCAGCCCTGCTGACGAACACTTTTCGTATCGCGCCTGATTGAGCATCTGCCATCAAGAAGGGCGTGTTAATCGAGAGCCTCTGTTCACTGGCTCTGATATTGGTCGCAACGACTCGTCCTCTCAGTCAATATTCCCATGCTTGGGTACCTCCAGGAGGGTGGCGCTAACAAGATCAGTTATTCCACGGACGCCGAGCTCCCCAATTTAGACTTCAGCCGTGATGCGAAAGGACCTGAGTCGTCTTCCGGAGGTGGATGTCGGAGAATGCGCTGCCAACACAACATTGCCCTTTCATCTTGGCGCTGGCCTGCCACCGTTACCTTCATGAATCCTTGCTTCCTACTCTCTGCTTCCTACTTGCACCGTGACATTTTATCTTTGCAAGTCTTCCACCTCTTATCTTTGACTCACGTTTCCCAAGTCCAAGTGTCCCGACCTAACTTCACCCCGCCTCACAACCTCCATCCTGCCGACATCCATCCCTTCGTCATATTACGCCCATGCTTCATTGTCTGTGAAGATCGCAGCCTTTACCGTGGCTATGGATGGCAACCGGGTCCCAAGATCTCTTTCTTTCTCGAGCCCCGCGATGCGGAAATACATAGGCCAGAATAGAAGTGTCTGAAAGATGACGCCCAACTAGCCCTTCTTCCGGCAACCTATCCGCCGACGTCCATCGAATCCCGACCTTCTCCCGCTTCTCGTTGTATGATGTTGCCTATGCATTGTTTGTCCGTACCGAGATCTCTCGCCGTATTCATGGTGTCCACCATTAGATATGAAGTTGGATTCAGCGTCACCCGAACATGTCTGCTGAAAGACTCTCCAAGCCGAATACGATTTGATTTCGCCAACTGTGAGGTCCCTGGCACACACCTCCCGGAATTCCTTAGTGACAGCTGGACATTCGCACCGATTTCTGGGATTCCATCATTACGGTGTCTGCCATGAATTTTAGAGATGGTCCCCGTGTGTGAGATTTTGCATGGAACCCAGATGAATGGCAGAATATGATGTATCTGGCGAGATTGTGTCGATCTGGTTTGCGCGCCTCTGGACCTCGCCATCATGGTGACTGCTGCAGCGGCGATAAGGAAGGAGGTCGTGGTGGGGAGTGGACGGCACAACACCCAAAGAAACATAGTTGGCGAGCATTCAAGTCTAGCATGATGGTCATTGCTGTTGGCCGGCGCTTCTGTTTTGCTTTTGTGGCAGTGAAGAGGCGACTGAAGGCGAACGCTGGGCGCTGCTGATATCCTTAGAATATCTTGTCCCCGACATGCAGCCTCGCATATCTGGAAGGGGCAAGGCACAACAAGAGAAACACAGATGATGCTGCTGAGATAGCCAGGTTTCTCCTTTCTACGGAAGTGTATCAGAAAGTCTTCTTGGTCATACCACTTGATTATTTTGATCATGAATAGAAGTTCACGATATGAACTCTGACTTTCACATCCGGGCGCCCGCCTCCACGATGTTTCCGAGACGTGAAAGCTGGATACTTAAGTCCCGGAGCGGCCTGACCCCAACTCAGGCAAGGATGCCAAGTGCTACAAATTTCGGCAACACGCCATTGTCCCAGAGCACATATTTCCGCCACATTCTCAGTAACAACGGATCAAATGCAGATGGATTCGTCTGGACTCAAATGGGATGGATGCAGGGCCAAAGTTGGGAGATCACTCACAGCATGCCCCAACCGCCACCACTCTGAGACCGTCTCACCGCCCGTTTGGAAGGCAAAAGCCGTCCCGCCAATCGGAGCATGTTCTCAGGTTTTCATGTGCAGTGATTGAAATCTTAACAGTCATGAGAGAGTAGGAGTCTTTGGCGAACCAAAGGCGTATCGAAAGTCAGGTCTCCTGGTCCAAAACTCGTGCAATGACATGTTCCATCGGTCATGCGACACACACAAATGAAGGGCACCAATAGGTCTTCATTGGAAGCGCACAAAGCGGCATTTTCGCGCCTTAATAACTATGAAAAGCAAATGCATTCAGGTCGACTTCGTGAACTGACTCAACGATATCCTCTTCCGCTTGAAACTCCGCAGCGATGCTAAACCGTTGGAGGCTAATTGTACAAGATCTAACGGCAGAACCACGAGCATGGCAATGGAGCCTAGCGAACCACATGAGCTTGAAACACCGCTGTCATACGAGTTGTATACTCTTGTCCTTTTTCCTGCTCTTCGACCCACAGCAGCATGATCGGAGACCTCGCAATGCCTTTTTGGGTTGCAAGAGGAAAGCGAACGAAGCGTAATCTCAGGGCCTGATCATATGAGCCACTGGAAGTTTGAGACTTCAGATGGACACAGAGGTATCTCAAGTGGCAGCTAAGGCCGATTTGCTGCTACAGACGAGGTCTCACGGGCGACGGATAGAGGAGGTGATATCGAGCATAAGTGCAAGCCACACTCTCACATTATCAACAAAACCACGCGGTTCAATGTGAACCCGAATATCAACGAGAATGAAGATTCAAGGGAGAGAAACTGGACTTATGAAACTTTCTTGGCCGAGGCACTCTTCGCGTGATGGAGTGCAGGAGGTTGACTTCTTGTCGATTTCTTGTTGATTTAAGGACCCGCAGATACAAAGTCAGTGCCAGGTTAAGGTTGTATGGGAATCAGTATGTTCTTGAGACCGTTTTGTTCACTTCTAATATTCGTAAAAGTTGGCTTTTGGTTTCAGCAGATTCATTCTACACGGAGACATCGTCATTCTGCGTGCCACCATCTTGTTACCGTTTCTGCTCTCCAATACTTTCAGGTCAGTTGTCTGGCTGCGGACGATCGAAGGACGCTTTGAGCGGAATGGAAAAGACGGCTGCTCTCGGCCGAAACATGTTTGGCGCGACCGTGGGAGGGGTCAGTATGAGTCCCCGGCCGATGACAAGGAGCACAGCTAGCCGGATGAGATC